CTCTCTCAACCGTAAACTCTCCATTTGGAAAAGCAAACATCTGTCGATTGGTGGTAGATTGGTGCTTCTTAAATCAGTCCTCTCCTCCATTCCTCTATACTACATGTCCTTCTTCAAGCTCCCCTTATGGCTCATTAATAAAATTGACAAAATTAGGCGCAACTTTCTTTGGGGAGGAGCTGCTGACCACTTCGCTGGCAATCATCCAGTCAGATGGAGGATTGTTTGCTCTCCTAAACTTTGTGGAGGGCTGGGAGTCCTCAACCTTCATCTCTTCAATATTTCCCTCCTCTCCAAATGGATTTGGAAATTCTACGACAGCAACAATCATATTGGTAGAGTGCTCCAATCTATATATCCATCCAATCTTCATAAACCAACCCCTGTTCACTATTCCAGATTCTGAAGAGATGTCCAATCTTGCTATAAATTCTACTCTGGCTTCGTCAATTGGTCTCTTGGTAATGGTTCTAAGATCCTCTTCTAGGAAGACAAATGGACGGGTCCTAATTCCCTTGCCAGCCTCTTTCCGAAGGCATACCTTCTTGCCTTCTCCAAGCAAGTCCCCACTTGTTCCCAAGGTAGATTTCAGGGGGATACATGGATTTGGAAACCCATCATCAGGCGCTCTACTAATGAATGTGATAGCAACCAGGTGCAGAATCTTCTGCTATTTCTGGCATCCTGCAATCTGCAGCCCTCCACTGTAACGGACAAGCCATCTTGGTCTATATCCTCCTCTAACATTTTTTCTGTCAAGTCTCTATACTCAATTCTTGCAGACGGAGGACCGCGCCACCAATTCCATGCTATCATTTGGAACAATTTGCTTCCAAGTAAAGTGTAAATCTTCTTCTGGCTCTTGAGCTTATCCAGACTTAAGACCAGGGACAAATTAGCTAACCAATGATGGCTAAGGGACTCATCTTGCTCATTCTGCAGCTCCCAGGAATCCTATGAGCATTTATTCCTTGAATGTATTTTCGCCAATCAGATTTGGGCTCCAATGCTATCTAGGATCAATATAGGCCCTCTCCCAGCTAGCATCAGCCAATGTTTAGCCATCTGCCATGACTTATCCATCCAATCATCAGCTCGTCATCTCTGGAGCATATGTTTTCCTACTATCTGTTGGGTCATTTGGCAAGTTAGGAATGATTGTACCTTCTCCAACTTGATCAACTCTCCCCAGCAAATCATCAACAAATCGATAAACTTTCTTATTTTCTGGACAGGTGCATTTGCCTCCAAGAAGGCCATCAAACTGAAGAATATCCTACAATCCTCGGGCCTCCCAGAGATTCTGAAATCAAGTGAAGACAACAACAGGCTCCCATGATATATCAGTTCCTCAGTAGATGCTCCCTGCAGCTAGCAAGCCGAAACCCTCCCCCAGGGCTCCTTTTGTTCTGTAGCTAACCCTCTTTTGTTGCCTGTTTCTTTCCCCTTAGTCTTTACTTATAGCTGTTTTTTTGTTTTTCTTTTTGTTGTTGTTATGCTTTTGGTAAGTGGGTGGGAACAATGAAGATGTCTCCTTATCGGTGACGGCAAGGCCCTCTCCCGGTAGTTCACATCTTCCATTGGTCCCTCCTTCCTTCACCTTCCATAATTTTGTGTATGTAATTTCTTATCATCCTTTTTGCATATATATACATGAACAGGGCTTCTGGCCTTGTTTTTTCTTAAAAAAAAATCAAACCACGAAAAGTAGCATAAACTCCGTAAAATTGTCAAAACACATTTGACTCTTCCTTTCTCAAATATTATCAGATAAAACAATCATAATTCACAATATAGCATATTCATGCCCACTTTACATTTGTGAATAACCAAAAGCATGAAAATAAAACAAATTTTATAATCAAAATGACAAATTGTCAATTTTTTATATTTATCATGCAATTTATTTCGAAAATAACTAGTGAGAATAATGCACTTATCTCTCAACGATTTCATAGACCAATACTCTATATCTCTATGATCCAACAAAGGTCCTATAATATGGAATTGCAATATTAACACATATTAAGCATTATCCTATATCATAAGCTAGTAATTCTCATTCCTAGGTCCGCATAATGGTAAATGACAATTAAGAAAAGTCCAATATACACTTATTATTTTTAGGAATTTGAAGTCTTTTCATGATTCAAGGTCTTTACAGGATTATCCACAATATTTCATGTTCTTTGGACTTTTGTGAAGTCTCTAAAATTTTTTAGGGATCTAATCGAAGTTTTTCATTTAATATCTAGGCTTCAGCCCCTACTTGCCTTTGGACCATTAATTTTGTTCCTGCATACCTCCTAAAGGATTTTTAGTCTTATCTTACCCCTTGAACTATTTAATTAGCCCCTTATTACCCCTGAACTATTTTGAGTCCTACATTACCCCCCTGAAGTATCACTTCAGTCCCTCCTTACCCTCAACATTATCATTTTACCCATTTAAAACAACCAAAAATTAATATAAGGGAGGTGGTAACTTGGTAACAAAAGTGATAGTTCAGGGATAATGAGTGACAAATTTAATAGTTCAAGGGATAAGGTAGGACTTAAAATAGTCCAGGAGGTAATAAAAGACAAATTTAAAAGTTCGAGGGGTAAGATGCGACTAAAAACTAGTTGAGGGGATATGAATGCACAAAATAAAAAGTTCGAAGGTCAAGTAGGGACTGAAACCAAATATCTACGATCCACTCAATGAATTATATATATATGCAAAGTTTAGCATGATTAGGGGGTTACATTGAATTTTTATGTTTTTATTGTTTTTCTCAATTATTTCTTTCTTCTTCTTGCTCTCTGCCCCTTTCATTTTTTTTTTCTTCTTAACCGTATCTTCATGAATCCAAAACACTTTAGGATTTTGATACTCATTTACAAAATCAAACTAGTTCCTGCTTATAATTCTTTAAATTGCTAGAAAATTATCAAGTCTGGAAAAAATTATACCTTAAGACCGAAGAGCCCTGACTTCTGCATTCTTCTTCCCCTTTCCTTCTCTCTCTCTCTCATTGCTTCAGTTCCCGGAGGAGGATTTCAGAGAAAGACTTGCATTAATTTCTCATCATTCTCTTTTGCTTCGTATCTTGAGGAATCAAGAGGGACAGATGTCCCTTCCCCCTAAACAATACCCAATAGAATTTGAGCACCTATCCCTCTCCAATTAAAAAAAATCTGTGAGACCTATGCATGTTTAGGAGCCATGTCAAATTTCCAGGAATCCCCTCCAATAAAACACATTTGCATCATCTTTGTTTTACCAATTCAATTATTTACTACGAAGAATTTGGGTCACTACATAATTTAACTGGACATATTATCATTTTCATCTCTATTATGTATTCAAAAATATTCTATACATTCCTTTTTTTTTTTAATTAATATTCTTTAAGCTTTGCTATGTTTATTTACCTGAGCAACCTTTCTCTTTTCATTCCTTTGGGAGCACCACATGCTACGTGTTGCATCCGGCTTCCACCAAGGACCATGGCGATGACATGATATGCTACAAGTGCGTAAACTATTACTCAAATTAGTAGCCTAACCTATGCAATTACAAGAGATTTTAAGAACTAGGATAAGTATGGATTTAGACTTTAGTGATAAAAAGATGTTTTTATATATCCTCCCCATTCACATATTACGAGTTCCAAATAATTTGAATACAACGGCGTTACAGGATATATATCTTGTATAAGGCATTTTGGGATCGATGATTTATTTCATTCATTACACACTGGGTACTAGCTGCAGGTTCAAGCTTTACTTTTGCCTTCTTCATTATGTCTTGACTTGAGTTTATTACCAAGCTACAATTTGATAGGTTAGGACAAAGGTTTGCTTTCTATAAACACTGAAATATCTGCGCCGCAAGCTGCCTTAGCTGCTCATTTTACGGATTAAGGAAATCAATATCCTGTACTAACATGATACCAGCCTACTAGTGACTTGGCAAATGGAAAATTAATATTCATGAAGTCTTCTTCTATTCGAGCTCGATTAGCTATTTGTTCTCATAAACTCTTCTATGCGCATCTAGAGTTCATACGGGCTGGAGGAAAAACCAAAACACTCAGTGACAGAAATCAGTATGACTGCGCAGATGACACAAGTAAAATGGGAGCCTACGCAACGCAAGCGAAGAGCTTCTGCAGTTTACACGCGAAAAACAGGCTGCCTCGGCTGCCTCTGCAACAGGCCCTTAAGCACAGAAATCCAGTCAGCAACAACAAGAACAAGGTTTGCATTTTGACAAGTATGCTTAACATGCATTTAGCCCCGTGACGTTCAGGTTTAACCTTACGTACGTTGAACAGATGCTGCTCCCAGAATGAGGGCTCCCAGCCCTTTAGAGTCCGCTGAAATGCAATCATCTGAAACGGCAGAGGATACGTGACTATACTTGAAAAGCTTACTGCATTAAGGAATTGGTTCCTCGAATGGAGATGAAGTTTTTGTATGTAAGTTTCATTACCAGTTTGTTTACGTTCAGGAAAGACCTTAGAGATACACTGTTAAGATCTCGTATGACGACGCTGTCTAGCTAGAATCAGGCGAGGACGAGGATGAAGGGTATGGGTAGATTCTTTTTAACTCTCGAGGGGCAATGATTCTAAAGCTATATGCTTCTCCTAGCACGAGGCCTCCCCTTGGTGTGTGCTGAAGATAAAGCGTTATTTCCTATTATACACTGCAGGGCGAGAATCCGCACATTTGAGCACGCACAGCAGAGTTTCCAACTTGTGTATATTATTTGTATCATTACAGAGAGGAACCGGTAATTGGCTCCTGAAGTGCATATATGAAAGAGATGAGATAGAATGATAACCACGCATGCTCCTGTATTCACAATAGATGTAAACAGGGATGAGAACCACAAGAGCAGATTTTCGATTAATCTTATCTAGAATTGAAGTCCCAAACGCGAGCTCATCTCACATTCATTACTTGATCATACAACTCAGTAACACACATTTCAAAGAGCATTTTACACAATAATAAACAACTGTGTGAACTTAAAAATTCTTAAGACCAATTCAGACTCCTTGCATATGGCTGCAACTACTAGTACTAGTGGTAAGAAACCCATCTCAGTGATCTCACCCAAAAGCTGCAACCACACTCGAAATCCCACCTAGCCATTCCCAACTATATACAAATGCACAGTTCGCCAAACCGTATCTAACAAGCATCAAAACACACTTTCTGAAATCACGCAGTGCGTATTATTACTCATTACTATATAAAGCTTGATTTCTTTCATCATCGTCAAATACAAGTTCCTTTTGTAATCACCATGAAATATCTCAATGGTTAGATGCTGTGCCACCATTGATTGACAGATTCCGCTGATGGCCACCCACCAAAATATCTTTAAAGCGGCTGATTGGTCCAAGCATCTTGCTCAAACTCTGTTGTAGTTAGAAATAAATGTCAATTTTTAAAAATAGAAAGATAGAAGCAAGTTTCCAGTACCTAGAGTGTAGCATACAGCAATAATATGACGAATAGTGAAACTGTTAAACAATATACATGCGTAGAACATCCAGGCGAGATGCATAATGCTACCATCTTATTGTTTCCATTTGTTGCATTATTGGAATGCTACTAGGTAATAGGATTCTGTAGGCCCTTAAGAAAGATTAGATGTTACGACCAATACCTTCTATTATGTCTTAGACTCTTAGTTAGAAAGTGCATTATAGTAGTGTACAGGATCACCAAAGGTTCAATACTGATAACTTATTCTAGAGCATCTATAAACATCAGATAAAAAAAATAAATCTTGCTGATAGCTCAAATTATACCATGTTAGAGAAGTAGTTTACAGGCTATTTAACATGTACAAGGAACAAGCAAGAACAGAACAAGCAAAATTTACAATGAACGCTGTAAGAGGTTAACAATGAACGCTGCGAGTTGACAGAAAAGAACAAGCAAAATCTACGGGATAGAAATTATCATACCTCGTTGCTGATCGTGAACCATTTAAGTTGCTGAAGCTGCAGTGTTTCCTTCTGCCACCGCTGTCCCAAGATAACAAAACCCATAACTGCACCAGCCACTACTACAGACCAAAAACCGTTGCCATCCTTAGCCTGCTTCAGTACTGATATTGCACGGCTTCTCCACCACGCCTCACATGGAAGTTTAGTTTCTTCATTCGGTTTTGAAGCATCTGAAGGGGACTCAGGGTTATGGAGGAGAACATCACTGTGTTCAACATTAGTAGGACTCTCGTTGCAAAGCACAGACTGAAGCGTGTCAGCTTTAGAATGGAAAGCACTGAAGTTAGGATCAACATATATATCCTGTTCTTTCCCAACCATGGCCAGTTCTTCCAATGCCTCTCCTTCTACAAACTTCATGCCGTTGTCAGAAAGGTTCTTTCCCTTACCAAAGAACTCAATTCCATGCAGATCATCATCATCATCAGATTTTAGTTTGCAAATATCTTCATCAGGCATGGATTTTCCACTGACTTCCTCTTTTGCCGGGATTAGATGTTCATCCTGAATTTCCTTGCAGTCTGGCTCTGCCAGAAGGTGTTTATGGTCGTATGGAGGAAACGTAAAGTGACCAGACATGAACATTGCAGCACAATCAACCTGCTCCTCTTTATCGACACCCTCTTTGCTCTCACTTATCTCTTCTTTCCCCTCAGCAGGTGGACTAAATGCCTTCGGACCAGGTGCAGCAGCATACGCAGATGCAGTGAGAGATACGACTTCCCAGTCGGCTCCGTTACCGGAAGTATTCCCTCCTTTCTCATCTTCTGCCATATCTGATACTCTATCCCTCGCCATGTACAAAAAAATGAACAATCAGAATGACACGTATTCAATATAAAGGGGAACAGGGGGAAAGCTCGCTTCTTGATAAATTTAACCAAGCGAGAAATCGCTAACAAGATTAAACTTGGGAGAATTTGTAAGGATCCGTAAGGTTGCGAAATAAACGCGTTAACCGCAAAAGAAAAATAAAATCAACTTTAAGATGATTCTTAGACAAGAAAGAACTAGATCAACAAACGAGCCAGAAATCAAATCCGTGAATGCCTGGTATATACACACGTGTGAATTGTCGGGAAAAGAAAAACCCAGCACATCCAAGATTATATATGTTAAAGTAACCCAAAAATTTAAAAAACACTCAGACAAGCAATAGATAATATTAGCTACGTATTAATTGTTCGCAGCAATGATGTCCAAGGAATTAAGCCTCAAATAGTCAGATCAGATTGGTTGAAGCCCCTAAGTTGAACTCTGAATCCCTAATTCTTTATGGGGTCTTTCTTAATCCTCGATCGCTCGGTTACGTTTCGATCACAAGGAATTAAGAAAGGTAACACGGTATATACAAGGCCAAGGAGTGGAGATTGATCGGTAAAAAAGAAGGAGAAGTAACCCATCAGTCTATTGCAGTTAAATAACACCAAAAATCACAAGAACAAACGTAAGAGAGGAAATAGCAACCCAAACAAAGAACCGTGCTTTTAAATTAAGGAAAATTAATGGTAGAAAATTAAATAGTAAAAAAAAAAACTACCCCTGTAGAAACCGATCTCCGGCCTGCAGACGCCGGTTTTGGGGAGGAGATCGAGAGAGCCTTAAGAGCAAAGCGATGAGATGATGACGGTCATCTATCTATCTATGTACACAAGACTGACTAGAAGAGAGTTGGGGGAAAGTGGGCCCAATTATACATACGTTTATGGGTTAATTACGAACATTCCCCTGTAGTATCACATAATTGCAAAATAAAGCCTCTTATAGTTCTTTTGCTGCAGATAGACCCCCTATAGTTCTGTTTGTTATGAATAGACCTTTTGTATGATTTTTTTTTATTCTTAAAATTATTATTTTTTAAATGTAGGAGATGGATAGATCCTCTATAGTTCCATTTATGAGGATAGACACCCAATTGCAAATGTACATAATATGGATGAGATATTTACAAACTCCACCAAACAATTAAAGAGACATGAATCGATCTCAAAATTATAAAAAAGAAAAATTAAAACAAATGGCTGCGATCTGATGACATAACATGGTGATCTCTCACCGACTAAACTTCAAGTAGTTCACGGTACTACATAATTAGTTTCAAAGATTAATTATACTATTATTATTTAAACAGAACTATGTTTACAATTGTTATTCTCTCACATGCAACATCACATGCCAATATATATAAGCTAATAAATTACAATAATGTTCATAGCTCTTTCATTTCCTTCTATAGATATGTGTCTTTATTATTTTTTCTTCTTATTAGATTAGATTAGATTAATTTAAAGCAATTAATTATATTAATTATTTAATTTTTTCATATTAAGACATAACAATAATTTTCACAACACTTTCATCTATTTTCTTCTTATTAGATTAGATTAGGTTATTTTAAAGCAATTAATTATATCATATGTTTGATCTTTTTTTATATCAGAAATTGCAATAATTTTCATAACACTTTCATCTCATTGAACAAGTATGTGTCTTTGTTATTTTCTTCTTATTAGATTAGATTGTTTAAAAATTATGAATTATGAAATTGTAGTACTTTTTACATCACTTTCATCTATTTTCTTCTTATTAGATTATATCAGATTATTTTAAAGTAATTAATTATATTGTATATTTGATTTTTTTAGATCATAAAGTTTAATTATACTATTATTATTTAAATAGATATTATTTGTATAAAAGTCAAAGAGAATCTCACAAGTATTTTAGATCTCAATGCTAATTATAATACTTACATGTTAGTATTGGTTAAAATAAAATTCATGCATGAGCTTAACTTATATGATCCTACTTTAACCAGATTAGATAGTTTTTTTTTTCACCCAAACTCTTCCACAAAGCCAAAAGAGAACAGTAATGCCATAGCTATATATATATATATATATATATATATATATATATCCACAGGACTATATATATCTTGAAAATGAACGAATAAAACCACACAAACAAAAACCATATTAATCACCCCACACACTCACTGTTTTCAAAACCATTATTCCCCATTTCCATCTAAAATATATCAATATACCCAAATTAAGCTGTTAGAGTTTCCCCCTCACCAACTACATCATTGATCAATCCTTTTTTTTTCTTTGTACTTAAATTATATAACATTCATTGCGATGATGACTCACCTGGGTCCTATGCCTGCCCTGAATGTTCAATAAAAAAATAATGCACTAGGCCTTGTAGTTAGTTAATCATGAGATCATGTCATTATAAACAAATTAAGTAAAGATTAATAATTCTTAAGAATGTACTACGTCTCTTAGCTTTCACTACAAACTTGTTAGTTGTTTATTCCTGACCTCAAAAGATTTTCAAAATTAATCTTGAGGGTTGCTTGTATTAAAAAAGTTCTGTTAGAGGGCCCATACAGTCTGTTTAATAGTTTAATATTGTCAACACATTTTGTCTCTGATGAATATCAATTATGAGTAATAATATGATTGATCCAAGTATATCCTAATATATTTATGGACTCTTGTCTTGTCTTTTGCTCTTTATTATATACCAACCTGATATCACAATTGATATAGACGATGAAGACACTACTGTAGAATTGCCCAAGAAAAAGATAAAGGTGGAGAATGATTTATCTCGACTCAATTAAATATGAAAAAGTAAGGAACAAAGAATAATATTTTTTAAATATTTTATAGTAGAACTTAATTTTCTGAGTAATATTAGGAATCTTTAGAAAAGATTTTGATGCAAAATTTTCAATATGCTTATGTGAATGATTTTGTCACATAAAATTGCACTAGAGTCAACAATAGTATTTAGTATTTATTTTTCTATTTTAAGTCTATCAATAATTAAGATGTCTTGCAGTCTTGTGAAAAGTATGTACTCTGTGCTGAGCTTATGCAAACAATCTTAATATTAAGTATTTGGTTATATTTTATTAACACATCAACAATACATTATTGGATATTTTTAAAACTTAATGCTACATTTAATGACTAAGATAAATAAATTGGAGATCGATGATTTGATCCAATAAAAAAAAATATGTTACATGAAGTTTGATATATACAAATTAAAAATAATAATGTTGTGTATGCAAGCATATAAAAGTATATTAATCCCAGTTTTACATGCAAATCTATTTCATAAAATTTTAAAAAATATTTAAATAAAATCTATAGCAAATGTAATAATCCATGTTTAAAGATTAACTCAAAATGAATCTGACTTATTATATAGCAAAAAAATAAACAATAAATAAATAATTTTGATATTTAACTACGTACATTGCACATGCATAAGAACTAGTAATAAAAATCTTATTTTCAAGCTCGGAAATAAAGCTAGAAATCTGACTTGATCACGTGAATTTAGAGTATTTGTTTGAAAATAAAAAATTCCTCTTTTCTCGAAAATCAACAAAATCCCTGTTGAGGGAAGCGTTGATTGTACTTATATTTTAGAAGTATTTTATTACAGACAAATGAAGAGTGGGAGGTATTTTAAGCCCCGGCAAAAATGCATCTTATCATTCCAATAATAAGTGATATCAAAATAATACAAAATATAATTAATAAACATTATTATGCTTCTATTAAAAATAATTAAATAACCAGACGATCCTGATGGATGCCGTCTTTCTTTTTTGTATTTATTTTGAAAAGTTAGCTAAATTCCCACGAACGGTATCCATTTCCCGTTGGCACCAAGTTATTCCTTGCTTCACTTAAATTAATAGTATAATTAACATGCACTCCTTCCTTCTTAATCCAAGGTTAACACTAATAAAACTCCTTCCTTCCCAGTTGTACACAAGTATTTTCTGTGATCCATAGTTCAACTCTAAACGGAAGAGTAAGTAGGCAACATATTAGCATCTTGGGCCGCTCTGTTTATATGTACGAACGTCTTGGGCCATGGTCGGCATACATGATACACCCCAGGGCCCAACACAGTGGACAGTGAAGTCGGGCTCTACACCCCTCGTCTGGTGTTTTCCCTCTCGCGATGCCGTTTAAAAAACTGACAAATTCCGTCGGCATTCTTCCCGCCAAATCCTCAACAAGACGTCCTCTCACAATAGTAAAACCCTGCTCTCTTCAACCCCCACTAATCCCCATCCCTGCTTCAAACTATTCCAGTTACCCCGCAATCAACACTCGTCAGCTGCAGAGATGCTACACGCTCAAGGACCTCAAGGCCACGCACGCCACCATGATAAAGGACAACACCCACCAAGACTCCTTCTCCATGAACCAATTCCTCACCGCCTGTGCCCGCCTTCGCCATATGGACTTCGCCGTTGCAGCATTCACCCGAATGCTGCACCCTAACATCTTCGTCTACAACGCGATCCTCGGTGGATTAGTCCAATCCAATGAACCCGTCAACGCCCTTCACTTGTTTGTTGAAATGCCCAAGTCTGCCCGCTTGCGTCCTACCCGTTATACCTTTTCGTTCCTAATCAAGGCCTGCCAACAAGCTCTGGATGTTGGTTTCGGCGAAGCGGTTCATGGGCAGGTATTAAAGATGGGTTTTGGAAGCGAGATCATAATTCAGACCGGATTGATTGATTTCTACTCGAGCTCAGGTAGAGGTGAAGAAACAAAGAGAGTGTTTGATGACATGGGTGAAAGCAGAGATGTCTTTTCATGGAATTCGATGGTAGTTGCTCTTTCCCGTTTAGGGCATCTGGACGAAGCGAGGAGCACGTTTGACGAGATGCCGGAGAAGAATATCGTGTCGTGGAACACCATGATCATGGCATATGCAAAGTGCGGGGACGTCGAGTCTGCCAGATGTCTGTTCTCGCGAATGCCTGCCAAGAACTTGTTCTCGTGGACTAGTATGATCTCTTGCTTCTCCCATAACAAATGTTTCAAGGAAGCAGTCGAAACGTTTGAGTGGATGAAGGCAGCAGGGATCGCCCCGGACCAAGTGACAATGGCAACCGTGATTGCAGCTTGCGCGCACCTTGGAGCTCTTGAAGTTGGCAAGAAGATGCATCATTATGCAATGCTAAGTGGGTTTGAGCTAGATGTCTATATTGGCTCGGCTCTGGTCGATATGTATGCCAAATGTGGGAGCCTAGAGCAATCTCTAGTGCTTTTCTTCAAACTGGAAGAGAAGAACCTCTTCTGCTGGAATTCGGTAATTGATGGATTGGCTATTCACGGCCATGGTAGGGAGGCACTAGATATGTTTCGTAGGATGAAGCAGGAAGCTGGGATAGAGCCAAATTGGGTTAGCTTCGTCAGCGTTCTTAGCGCTTGTGCTCATTCAGGGTTAGTAGAGGAAGGACACAGGATGTTTTCGAGCATGGTCAGAGATCACTCTATATCCCCGAAGATGGAGCATTACTGTTGCATGGTCGACGTTTTGGGGCGTGCAGGCCTCCTCGATGAGGCATTGGATGTGATAGGGAGTATGAAGATGGAGCCGAATGCGGTTGTCTGGGGAGCTCTATTGGGGGGTTGCAAGATTCATGGTAGCTTAGAGATTGGGAAGATTGCCATTGAGAATTTGCTGGCTCTGGATCCGGAGAGGAGCAGCAATTATATGATGCTGGTTAATATGTATGCTGAGGTTAACAAATGGCCAGAGGTTGCCACAGTAAGGAGTGCGATGAAGGATAATAGAGTGCTGAAGAGGTCACCAGGGTTGAGTTGGATGGAAATAAACGGTAGGGTTCATGAGTTTGCTGCTGCTTCTGATGCTTGCCATTCTTCGTGTGAAGAGATTGGCTTCTTGTTGACTGAGTTGGATGGGCAGCTCAAACTTGTAGGGAATGTATCAGACTGGAGTTCGCTTCATTTGTGCATATAGCTTGCAAGAGTACCAAAGTGCTTGACCGTTTTCTTCATGTCCTTGTTTTCCTATTTCATTGAGTAACAAGCTATGATGCTACGCTGAAATTGTAGCCATAATATCTCCCTTTTAAAACTCACAACTAGTACTACTGAATAAGCAAATTAGTTAACAAGGTGATTATTATGAAACTAGGTTAATAGCGAATGTCAACATGACACGATTTGGCTCTCTCTCTCTCTCTCTCTCTCTCTCTCTCTCTCTGTGCGCGCGGTGCTTGCAGATTTTTGAGGAGGAAGTGCGTGAGGTAATGCGTTCTTGCTTTTGTTTCTTCCCATTCTCTTGCTCACAGGCACACAAGAACTGTTTGCAATATCCAACGACGACAACAAATCCAATGGCTGACACCTGAATGGTATCTAAGGGCCTGTTCGGTTATTTTCCGAAAAAGAAAAGAAAACTGAAATATGAAATCAAAACCATTTCAAAGCATTTCACAGACGTTTCTCAGATTTGATTTCTTATGTTCGTTTGACATGGAAATCTTTGGTTTGAAATCACATTTCACATTTCACCTGTTCGGTACAGCAAACCAGAATGAAGAAATGGAGTTTTTGCAACGGTAATATCTCCGAAAAACCAGCCAACGGTAATATTTTTGCAACGGTCACAAAAACAACTAGCCGTGGCCTGATGCAATGACCAGCAGCAGGCCTTAAAAGCCAACGGGCAAAATTTCTCCCCTACCACCCTGCACTTATATATAGCTGGGATGTGAGGCATAAGTAATAGCAACTCCACTATCCTGTTCATAATTTCACTGAGATAAGAAGCATAAACAGGCAGGGAAAATACCGGAATCCAGAGGCCTTGGATTCAGCTGCGACATGGAAACAAGTCAAGTCTCCAAGGAGTTAGCTGAAGTTGTAACTTGCTACTGTCAAATACCTACGCCAATCAAGCTTTGCAAAACAGGATTACACAAGGGGAAATACTTTTGGGGGTGCGGCTACTATCCAAATAGGCGCTGCCAGTTTTTTAGGTGGGCAGAGGAGCATAATGATAAGAAGCAGTGCAAGGTAAATTGTGAAATCAACTCTGCGCAATCAGTACCCCAAAATAAAGATGTTGAAACAAAGCTCTTGCGAAGAGAGTTGAAGCTTGCAAACCAACAAGTTGATTACTTGAAGAAATGTATTCTTGTTTTAGGAATATTTAGTATTTTCCTTGTTGTCATAAACATTGTAATCTGCTCTATGAAAATGTAATGCAAGAAATCTCCAATTTAATGTATTGCATAAAACAGAGATGACAGCATTGAGTGGAAGTATAACACAGTTTTGAGTTTCAAAGTGGGACTAATCCATTGCATCATAGTCAACGCGGAAAAAACATTGGCAATTATGACAAGTTGTGCTCAGATATATGTCTACAATACATTGATCCCACACCAGCAAAGTGGTGCATCACAATGATGGCTGCATTCTTTCCAATTTACTCCTCATCAAAACAGGTAAATGTTGGGAATGCCTCGCCACTACATTGCATGTACTATATACTGGTGAGGAATATCAGCTACAAGACAATCATCACAGCACAATTAAATCATGCAATTGCAAACTGCCCACCCAACAGTGCTCAGGATATTCATGAACAAACAGTTATGCAAGAACCACGTCTCAAAAACAAGGTAAGGCTGCAGTCAATGTAAAATGCCTGCATATCACAATATCATGCCTCGCCTTTACCTTGTTAAGATACGTGTGATTGCATATATGATTTGCATGATCTCATCACAGCACAAGTGCAATTAAAATGCAATTTGAGAATACTTGCCATACCAGATTGTTCTTTGCGCTTAACGGGGCACTTTACCAAAACCCTCGTACACCTGAAACATAAGTGAAAAAAGCAACGTCACTTGAAACCAATAATGGAGAAAAATACAACGCCAGTGTCATCATAATCACCATACATACGGTTGCATCCTAAATCACAAACGTAGCTACAAAACAACGTAGCCTAATAATTAAAAGGCATACCCAGTTCGTACAAAATAACAACTGGATAGTTAGGCAAAAAGTTGCAAAATACATATTTCCCCCCCATCTCCATAATGACCATGTATGCAACAATAGGTAAAGAAATGAGAGATGATTATTTGTAATAAATTGCACGACCGTATAAGCAGCATATCAAATTACGTACCTGAAATGGCAAACTAGCTCCCCCCCTCTTGCATTTTCATGAAATTTTCTAACAAAGCTCTCTGACCGAAGTCAGTCTTACCTATAAAATGCCTGGCCTTGGACTCATCCTCAAAAATGTGATCATAAAAAAGCTCCAGGAATTCTATTGAGTATGTATCCTTGTGCTTGAAGATGGCTTTGGACAATTTCTCTGTCCAGTGGAGATTAATAAGATTCATAGAACTTGAAAAATGTTTAACTTCGTCAACCATTTGCTGCATTATCTCTTTCTCGTTTAGACCCTTCCTCCCCCTCGCTTTAGCCGAAGTGATTCTCCTCTGTTTGTCCTTATTGCTTGACCAGACATTGTTGTTTTCAGATTGAGTTTCTTCATCTACTAGGTTGACTGACCGAGGTGACTTTTGGGTCAAAGGAATGCTAACATCCTCGTCGTCATCACCTGCAAGGTTAATCGGATCCTGACCTCCAAATTTCTCCATTGCAGCCTTAGCGAAGTTACCTCTCGCTTGATCATCCCCACAAATGATAGCTAGGTTCTCATAGTGCTTCAGAGGCTTATTAATGTACTCTTTAAGCTTGCTCTTATTTTTATCCTGCTCGCATAAATACACATCATTTTACCAAAGTGCATGAGAAAGAATCCAACAAAATTGGAGCGGGTTTGAAAGCATATACCTCATTCCACGCATCAAAACTCTCTGGATCCAACATTATCGTTTGAGTATCTTCATCCCAACCTGCACCACTAATGTTACGAGCCGCCTGCATGTCTTGAAACCAAGAACGAATTGTTTTCATATGATTTACAACACTTTTCGTTTGAAAGGAAGTACCAAACTCCTTGTTCACTTCAGCAGCTGCCATAGCAAATGCATGTTGCTTAAAGTTTTTGTCTGGCTTAAGACCAGACTTGGCCAATTTTGCGAGGAAGGGTATAAGCACGTCATCATGTGCAGAGGTCCACCATCTGGTTGGGCCAACCGTTGTAGCTTCGACCTCAACTGTGTTTCTTCTTTTCTTATGGGAAAGGGCTTTGCCTTTGCCCTTTCTTGGTGTACAAGCAGAAGTTGCTACTGCTTCATCCCTGTCACTTCTTTTGTTGTTACCTGAGCCAGAATTAGTCCCTGTAATACTAACTGGGGAAGGAATTTGGCCGGATGAATTCGAGGCTTGACAATTTTGGGGCAAAGGTGGTGGACTATTGAGCATGTGCATGTAAGATGAAACGGGATGATGCATGGCGAAAAAGTTACCATCGTAGCTTGGCATATTTGGAAAACCTGACTGGAACATGGAATTGACACTGTGGGGAAAGGGTAGGCTTGCGGGGAAAGCATGAGATGATGGTGGGGCCATTGAATTTGTGAAGTGAGTGGAAGTCACATCTTTGCCTAAATTCATCTGTTCGGATCTTGATTTATCCCCCATTGCCTATATTTAAACCAATTCAGTCATGATAAAGTGAAAACTGGATCAGTTAACAACATAGGAATATTACTAAAGCAAATGAGTAAAAGATGACATTACAAGCATGTATTATAAGAAAGCTCAGATATAATATATTACCCATTACATTTCAGAGCACAAATGGCATAGCAAGCAATTAATAAGTCTAATAATGCATACATAAAACTGCAACAGAAACTAAATCACGCTGAATAAAAGGACAACGTCGTACAGCAGTATTATAGACTCACATATATGCCAGTACAATGTCTACTTGTGTGGGGAAAGGGTAGTGCGGTTTTGCGGTGAGAATCTTGAAACGATTCTTCAATATACCAAAGGTAGCTTCAATCTTTGACCTCAAAGATGAATGTCTCAGATTGAATAGCTCCCTCCTATTTTGAGGTGTTCTTCCCGCAAACTCCTTTAGATGATAACGCACACCACGATATGGGGATATGAAACCTGGCTGGGTTGTGTAGCCCGCATCACACAAGTAATATTTTCCTACATATTTAACAGGATTTTAATATGATTGTTATAATGTAATTTTTAAGGAGGAATATCAATTTGAGATAACCAGAAGTTTACCAGTGTACACCCGTAAGCCATATGGTTGTGGTCTAGACAGAGCATCTTGAAGGATTCTATAGTCGTTAGCCGACCCCTCCCACCCAGCTAAAACGTAAGTGAACAGTTTGTTTGGGGTACAAGCCGCGAGAACATTTTGTGTGACACCTTTGCGCCCTCTGAAACGCGAAACAAGTGCAGCTGGTAGCATAGCATCCACATGCGTCCCATCTATCATACCTATGCAATCCTATGGAGTACAACTAACTATGTTAATGTATTTTAAGATTTCGGCGGATAATTATTTAGGAAAAATGGTTGAGTGGATGATATACCTTGAAAAATGGATAAAATGACGGGTTGCTTAGGATCTCTTGAGGTACTTCATTCGGGGCTTGTTTCATAAATCTGCCTTGTATGCGCGAAATAGCTTCCAATACTCTATTGAAGTACTTACTGACTGTATCTCCTGATCTTATGAATTGGGTTCTCATCATACGATTTTTGGATTTATGTCCCAAAATATTCAAAGATATGGCGAGTTGCTCCTCAACTGTTATATGCCTTGAGTCCTTTAAGAGTTGTTGTTTCCTCATTAACGTAGCTAGTTTCATAAATGCACCCTGTCGCATTCTAACAAAGTTTTGACAGCTATCACTATAACCTTCAAATATACGACTCATCAATTCAGACCTAGCCTTTTCCCTGCGCATTTTCTCAGCACTTGGTCCAGACCGTAGTGATCTACGGCGGCATTTAATTCTCGTCAAAAAGGTGAAAATTATTACCATGACTGAGAATGTAGCCCCAACACACATTCTTTTAACACCCTCTTCATCATCATAATCACCATCCATCTACAATATTTAGCTATCAGTTAATATATGTTATTAAA